ATCAAACTACCAGAGCTGTGAAAACACCTCAGATTAGTAATAATTTCATCAAAATTCAGCTTGAAAATAAACGAGTTTCATTTTTTTTTTGCTGAATCTGTTCCTGCCTCTCTAGTAGCATTTGGCGCATTAGAGGTAAGTATAAACATGGCTTTGTTGGATTAGCGCTGAGAGTTTTTAATAAAAGGAGAGTATGGGTGGTATTACCCATGATTTGGCACAGAGGCAACATCTACAAAGCTTTCAATATTTAAGTACCAAAGATGGACAGATTTCTGCTAGTTTATGCAGAAATCCCTCAAACAGATTGGAGGGATTTTCCAAAGCCCGTTTTTTTATAGTACCCTATGGCTTCAGGCCTTTTTAGACGAGATGGACACATTTGATCCGCATCTCTGAGGCCTCAGCACGATCTGTCATTCATCGGTAGCTGATAGAATCTCATGGCTGAAGCATTTGGAGACATTTCTGCTTGGGAACAACAGAGTAGCATTCACAGATGCCCCTTCAGATCAGGCTTTGCTGTGCAAATGAGAAGGCTTTTTTATTTTGTTCGAGTCGAGTTTGCTTTTACTCCTCAGAGTCTGAAGACCCTGGGATGGACCATGGCGCAGTGGAAACGTGGGCTGTGGTCAAACCAGTCAGTATTCCAGATTTTACTTAAAAGAAATGAAAGCCATGTGCTTAATTAATTCAGAAAACATTCTTAGATCTCGGAGCAACGCACGCCGCTTTTTCCATGTTTTAACAGTAACCACATTCTGCAGAAAGGCGTGGCCGAGGAAGAGGCTGGTACTGGTTCTGAGTCGGTCCGATTATTTCCACAACAGAGAGCCTGAGGAGATTTAAAAAATAAAGATTGTGACAGCAATGACTCCATGCTGTCGGTCACTCGGCTTATATATGCAGAAAAACCCGGGTTGATGTACAGCAGCATGAGTGATAGACTCCTGCACACCCCCCTCCCTCCCTCCCTTGCCTGTGTAATAATATATTTGACTTTACTGGATGTCCCAGGAGGAATTCCTAGAGTTTGGTGAACCGGAGTCTCTCCAGTGTGATTTCAGACGTGGCGAGCAGCGGTCATTAATCACCATGCTGTGACTGAACCTGTGTGTTCACTGCTTTGCGTCTGGTGTGTACTTTGGAAGTGCCTCTGTTTTTCTTTTCATACATGTTCATCAGTGATCACATCCTATCTATTCTCGGGGAAAATTGTAGCCGCTCTGCCAGCGCTGCAAACGGAGGAGCCGTTTTTCTCAGACGTGTGACCTCTGGCGTGTCGCTGTCTCTGAGGAGCTCCTGGCTGCTCGTCAGGGATACGGAGGATGAACAAGTGAAACGGCTGCGTGGCCTCCAGGCTACGTCGTCTCAGTTTTTTGACTCGGCCAGACTTTACAGCAGCTTCCTGTTGGGGTTCAGTCTACCGCTGCAATGATCCCCATCTGTTCAGGGTTTACCTTTTAAACTTCCCAGAGCCGCAGCGTGAGTGATGAGGTGTTCACAGCCGTCGCTGCAGAACTATTCTAAGATCTCAAGACGAGCGCTGAGATAATAAAATACACCGGCCTAAAGTAAAGCCAAATAAAAGAAAGGGATGTTAGAAATGCTAAAATGTGGATTTAATCTGGTCTAGGAGCATCAAGATCTTGCAGTAAGATGCTAAATGGAGATCTTAACCTCTGACTGGGTTAGTATTTTTTGCAGCCCTATGCTCTTACTGGTCCCACTCATCTTCTTCTATGATGGAATTGCTAATAAAAAGCTTAGCCTCCATCCTCCAGGAAGGGAGGAAATAGACCAGATGCTCATAACATCTGCATGCATATGTGAACGGTTCCATACAGGAACAACTAGGCATAAGTAGATATGAGATCCTCTGATGACAATGGATATGATGAATGCCAAAAAAAAAAACCCAAAACTATGATTTATCATAAATATATCAGGCCCAGCGATCGCCTTCCGATTAATTGTAACGGTTTATTAGATAATAATTTGTTGCATCGGATTAGCTGATAATATCCGCTCAAAGAGAACTTCCTTGGAGGTCCTTCCTGCGTCTCTTCCTGGACTGAGAAACATCAAAGACCCCTGCTTTAAACTTTTAAAAGTTTTACAGCCTCGGGTTGCCTTGTTATCAGCCCATGCCTAACTTCCCACAGGTTTAACTGTGTACACACACAGGTTGCCATTAGCAACAGGTAAACATGTCCTATTTAAGCACTTGTCTGTCAGGATTTATTTATTTAACTCCTTGGAGCCCGTTTTGCAAATATGCTATAAAACATTGTTGTATTTTGTTCACAGCAAGGAGAGCATGTGCATTCCTCCAGTGCCAGTTATTACACACTCAATGTGGACCTAGCAAGCTCTTGCTTTGTTATAACTGGTTTCTAACAGTGTATGTTATCATTGACCGTTATAAATGCTGTCACAAATTAGTAATATATCTACATTTAAGATAAATATAAAGTTTCGAAATTTCAATTTGGCTACTGCTTAAAGGCAATATATATACATTCTGGCGTCAAGGGGTTAAGATGGTTTCCTGTGACATTTTCCAGACTTCATAATGGTTACAAATAAACATGGTCCAATGGGTGTTAAGACTAAATATTAAATAAACAATGAAACAGTTTCATACTGCTTCATTGGAGCCTCCTCCTCTGATGATGAGGAAACCTGCTCAGTCGTGGCGTAGCCTTCTTTCCTCAGTGGGAGATCAGCTGATGATAACAGGATGGGAGAATAAACCCCCCCACCCCCCCAGCAGGCGGGGTGATCTCACTGCCTTCACGCAGACATCTGGCTGGCACTGATGAGACTTTCCCTTCATGCTGAAAGCAAACGTTCTCTTTGTTCCTGCCCGAAGGTTGAAGGACATCCAGCATGGACCCTTCTGCTTGATGTTTCAATAAAATGAGGTGCTGACTGGGCATCTGAAGGTGGAGATCATGGACCCAGACCAAGTCTTTTATTTGGTGTGCAGCTGTCCCCCGACTGGAACCGCTGCAGACCGAATGACCGCATACTTTAGCACACCATTACAGGACTCCTTTGCTAAATTTGCAAAAGAAATAAATCCAAGATCCATTTTTTCCCCCAGAACTCACAAATTGAATTTTTGGGGGTTTTAGCTGCTGTTTCGTCTCAATACTAGAACACACAAGATAAAATATGTTGCTCATTCGATGGAAGCTGTACTTTAGGTTCTGGCATCGAACAATTCATGAGTGCATTTAGCGGCCGTGCCTTGAGATCATGTGAAGGACATGCATCGCTGCTGCCTCTGTTTGGCATCCATTATTTGATTTGTAAATAATATCCATCCATCCATCCATTTCCATCACGCTTATCCCAAGCGGGGTTGCGAGGGGTGCTGGTGCCTATCTCCACCTATCTACAGCAGGGTACACCCTGGACAGGTCGCCAGTCCATCGCAGGGCAACACAGAGAGAAACAGGACAAACACAAAAACTCACACCTGAGGAGAATTTAGAGAAGCCAATTAACCTAACAGTCATGTTCTTGGACTGTGGGAGGAAGCTGGAGTACCTAGAGTTTTTTTTTTTATTATAATTTTTTTTTTTTTGAGTTTTTACGGCACTAGTGGCTCTTTTTTCTGACAGTAGGCTGACAGGAAAGGGTGTATGAGAGAGGAGGAGAGACATGCATCACAGAACCACAGGTCAGTTTCAAACCCGTACATGGGTTGTGCGCACTAACCCCTGCGCCACCTGCACGCCCATTAATAACAGTTATTGTGTAATTTTTAACATGTAGATGGAAGAAGAGAAAAAAGTATCAGTTTTAAAGAACTGCCCAGATGAAGCAGATTGGAGCAGTTTTAGGCTAAATGTGTGGGGAAGTTAGTTTTGATACATTTAGTGAGATCAGATTCTATAGCAGTCAACCTCTTCAACAAGTCAGAGCAGATGGATGGAAAATTGGCACCTAAACATTCCAATTAATACTAATCACGTTCTGCTTTCATGTAGTATTTAAAAGCATTATGTCACAGAGCACTGTAAGACCTGTATTCCTGAGATAAACATGAAAAGATCAAGGTCACAGTAATATCTTTGTGCTGAAGCTTTGTTATCGTGGATTCTGAAGGGTTCTGTTCAGACTTTCTGCTGCTGTTCATAGCTTTCACATTAAAGGAGACTCCAGCCTAAGGTTAAGCCTCAGTTCAGGTCTGCATTGGTTCTAGAAGTCACTTCTGGCACGGTGGTTTCATAGATGATTTCTTGATGTATCAGTAACAGTAAACCACACAATCGTATTTGACTAATTTCCCTTCTGTCATTTGCAGATTCCCTTTGTACCTCAGAGGAGAGCGCTTTCATTTTGAATATGGCGTCTACTTACTGAACAAGAACATCGCCCAGGTAAGGAAGGAAGACATCCATGTAAAATCTAGTTCTGATAAAATGCCAGCACCTTTGATGTTTTTAAGACAGAAGAAAAAGGGAAATCTAAATCTAACATGTCCTTTAAGATATAAAATATGAAAGTATTCACAATAGCAGCAATAACCTGATCAGTAGGTCATGCATCAGCTTTGTATTTCAGTGGCATTGTAGGTAATGCCACTAAAATACAAAGGTAAAGGTAATTATTGGTGAATAATGTTGAAGCAACACCTTTCTGCACATTTAATATCATAAAAACACAATTTTAATCAACAGTTATAATTCATAGACACATTCTCACAGCTCAGAAAAGATTTTTTACATGGAATATTACAGCGCTGGTTTAAGAGACACGATAATATAAGATGAGAGGACTTAATTGATCTCATAAAGGCGAAATGTACTTGTTACATCAGTTGCAGAAAATAATGCTACATGCAAAAACAAGGAAAATGTGCATCAAAAAAGCAAGTGTACAAAGTTGGGAAAAAAAAAAATCTATGTATACGTGTATATATACATGACGTATTTTTATATGCAATGCTGTATATATGTGTGTGTGGGTGTGTGTGTGTGTGTATATATATATATATATATATATATATATATATATATATATATATATATATATATATAATATTTGTGTGTGTATATGTAAAGTTGCTCAGGTTTTGGTAAATAAATATAGGCTTTTATTGCACAAGGTTTAGTTGGTGTTAAAACTCTCCATCTCATCACTTCCACTGCCTGGTTTCTCTGTTGATCTGTAGATGGATGTTGTTTTCCTTACGAATATATATTTTCAATCTTTTTATTTTTATATTCAAGGGAGCATTTTTAGGTTCTTTGTTATATTACCGTATTTTCTGGACTATGAGCCTCTACTTTTTTCCCGCACTTTGAACCATGAGGCTTATTTGAAGGTGCGGCTTTTCCGTCGATGTTGCTTTAACCGAGTGTTACAGTTGGAAATGGAAGCATATGTTAGCAGCAGGCATGACAGAGAACAGTTGTTCAGAATTTACACATTTTGACATTTATTTTCCGCATTAAAGCCATCGAACCTATAAAAAGACGGTGCGCAACTTCTGCAGAGGTGAAATAAAGAGCTGAAGAAGCCGCATCTTTCATTAGAAGCTCTTACTGTCAAGAGCTAACAACCTAACAGGAGCTATCATTCTTCTTCCTTACTCCAAGGGCAATATGTAGAGCTCCCCCTACAGGTTTGGTGAGTGGCAGTTTGGTAGATTCGAGTGGCTTATACTTCACTGTGGTTTAAATATCTACATTTCCAGTTTAAAAAACATATTTTGGGTTTGGCTTATCGTAAGGGGCGCTCTATAGTCCAGAAAATTCTGTAATTTGTAAGATCTTGAAGCATTTCCCTGCATATTCTCTGTAAGGCATCTATATTAAAATAACATTTTATTGTTTTACCATTATGTCTATCTCATTGAATGCCCAAATGACAGAGGATAAAAAGGTTTAAAATAACTCTGCCATGAAAGTTCACAATAATCTTTCTTGCCAACACCAACAAAAATACCTTGAATATCATTTTTTCTTGTTTTTTCTTTTACTTTGTCGTCGACCAAAAGCAGGAAATGTACAAACATTTAAGCCTGAGACCGAGACTCGAGTTTCACATCATTATTTCACAAATTTCCATTTGCTATCTTGCATTCCTGGATTAGACAGGTTGCACAAAGCAAGGGCCAGAAAAATAATAAAAAAAGGCTTGGTTTTAGCAAAGTTAAGGCATAAGGAGTCTCCACAGCTGACAGCTGATACACTACTGGTAACTTAATTGTGATTTCATTTACAGTTTACATTTACATTAGGCTTGAATAACAACTTTTATCATCGGTGCTCAGAAAGAACAAGGATAGTTAATTTAGTAGCATCTGTTTAGCAGCAGCTATTATTCTTAAAACTAAACATTCAAAAAACAACCAGAGTCTGATTAAAAAACAAACTCCAAATGGTAGTTTTCTTGTACTGGAGAGCAGAAGACCTTGTCTATTCAGCCAGGCTAACAATTGCCTTTAAAGTCATAGGGAAATTATATTTAAATGTCAAATCAGACAATATTGTCCCGAAGGTTAAAACAATTTCTATTAAAAAAAAAAATAACACCTGAACACCTAAATTCAGCCAATGGTATATCAACACTCATCAGTCAATCAAATTTTTTCGGTCATAGCATCTTGATTGATATTGTTGCAGCTAATATACGCAACGGTTGAAATTTACTTTAGCAGTGTTCACGGGGATGGACGTCTGTGTCTTCAGCAGGCGTAGAGCTTACAGAACTGGCAGCATTGCGAGGCAAGGGCTCAAACATGTACGGCTGGAAGCCTTCTACACCAAACCAAGCTTCTGCCGCCCTGGCGTCCTCTTCCACAACATCTTCCTCCCCGCTTTCCTCCTCTAAATATAAATGTATGATTGAGGAGACTCATCCATGACCTCCGACACTAATCTCTCGGAAGAATTTGGAAATGCAACGGTTGGAACAGCCGCTTCCCTACGACTTAACGACACCCTTTTCAGAGACTTAGATGGGTATGGGGTATTGCAGACTAACAAAAGAAGCCAAATGACCCCCATTCCAAAGGGATGGACCCCTTCGTCTGTTTGAATTTGCATGTTTTCAAAACAAAAACAAGACTTTGTTGCGCTACTGTATAACACCTCGAACTCAACGCTATCCCTGACATTTTGAATTGAAAAAGCTTCCTGGATGGAAAGCGAAACGTCTTCAAACTTGGAAACAAAGTACAGTGGATTGTTTTTAACTTTCCTTTTATGGAATGACTATGACTTGAATGACTGGGAATCTTCACCAACATAGTCCCTCAGTAATAATAGAGATGAAAACTACCTAGGTTTGCTGACCTGAATATGAATATTTGTCCCTTTCAATTCAGTTTATTTACATAGCGCCAATTCACAACACGTGACATTTCACAGTGCTGCCTTTTAAAGGTAATAAATCTCATAAAGACCTAAATCTTCCAATTTGATAAAGAGCAGACACTTTGATTCATCATAGTCTGCAGACGGACATCTCAAGGGGTGACCAGTGGCATGAATGAAAGGCTATCGCTCGCCCCTCCCTACTAGGCTCTAAAGTATTGGTAAATCGTGATCCATGTTGTCAATACTGTGACCCAAAACAACAAACCCAGCACTGAACTTTCAGATATGTTTTAATTAAGGTCCGTTTTAGTGAAGAGTGGCTTTACTAAAGCCTCCTTCAAAACCCTACAATGTTTACGAGCCACGGGAACTGAACTTCTCTTCATTGGGAAGTTTTTCCAGGTTCATGGTGAATTTAAAAGTGGCCCTACGATATTTCAGAATGACTTAAAAAAAAAAACAACAACAACAAGAAAACAGAAGAACACTTCCTGACATTTCATGTTTTCTCAGCTAAAAATAGCTATTCCAGCTTAAAAAATTACTTTTTTTTTTTACAGAGTACTAGAAGTGTCATCTAAAAGCATACTTTCTTTGTTTTATTAGATATTAAGGAAGTAGCGTATTTTTGGTTTTCACACTCGGAGATTTTGGCCTCTGGTGTCATTTTTTTGCAGAAAGGCCTTAAATTCCAACATGGAGGGCGTACGTACTGATAGTGTTTTCCACATGTCGGAGTATCCATTCATCTAAGAACAGCAGGAGCAGCAGGGAGCTGAGCACACTGCTCCACTAAGCCAACCACAGCTCTACTTTTTTACTGTCTTGTTAAATCTTTTTGGACATCAGGGAAATGAGCTGAATCAAGCTTGAACTGTACACAACCCAACCGTTGGCGGCATTAACTGCTCCTTCTGATCTTGCCATGTGATTTGTTGAACTTGTAACCTCACTGTGCTTATTAAAGTACGTCTAATGTGTTGACCACGTTCTGTTTATCTGGGAGACGTTCAGCACAGACTTTTACTGGTTTGCATTCCTTTTTTTTCTGTTTTGCTCTCCTATTCAGGTGGAAATGAAGGGCCCCTCTTCTGAATAAGGCAGGTGGCGAATTTCAAACAACCAAACAGCCCTGCAGGACTGTCGTTTTTAATAAATATTCAACCATATCCTGATGCAGATTCTGTCCATTTCTGGTCCGTCGTTCTGAACTTTAATCCAGAATCGTTCATTAAACCATGTTACCTTCTAGATACTAACGGTCATATTTACGTTTGATGCAGAGGCCGGTAACACCATGTGTGTTTAAAAAAAAAAAAAAAAAAAGCTAGTGTGATTGTAAATTCTGGCTTTGAATTTGGTTTGGCATGTTAGCGCGGTTAGCATTACTGATTGTGAGCAACACTTTCCGGGTATAGCCGACCCGTAAAGGTGACAGCTTCAGGTTTAATTCCTCCTGTCCAGTAGGTGGGGCTCTCGCCCACTGTGGTTCTAACTTTTAATTGTATTGTTCGTCAAGGGTAAACCGTTAGCAAACATTTAACTTATCTGTCCAGAACGGAAGCAGAAATCTCCTTTTTGCTTCCGTAATTCGGCACCAACGTCGTAAAGCTTGACGGATAATCTGCTTCATAGTTTTTCTTTTTTTTTCCATAACGTTCAGAAGAATACATTTTTTTCTACTTTTTTTATTTTCTCTTTTTTATTTTTTTATTTACCTCTGCATTTAACCCATCTCCTTGGGGAGCAGTGGGCTGCCGATGTGCAGCACCCGGGGAGCAGTGTGGGGTTAAGGGTCCTGCTCAGGGACCCAGAGTGCAGGCTGTGGGGATCTGATCCGGGGACTTGCACCCATCTCAGAGCACATGCGCACTGCTATAACCACCAGGCCAACACTCCCCCAGTTGTTGCATAATTGGCTGAGAACATTTTCCATCAAAACCAGAAGGATATATTTGCATATTTTGGAGCCATAAAAAATTAATAAAACAAATATTTATGCACATTTTTTTTCAGTTAAATTGATACTTTTGTTTTAGGGATGGATGCTATAT